AAGGTTTTGTCATCATCAGGTCCTTTTCGAAACGTTGTTCATTTGCTGTTATGTTAAACTTATATTAAAGTTTTTCTTCATTACCCATTCAAGCTGTCTCCAACTATTATTAGTCTCAAAGTGGGTTCCTCGTCATCGAATGAGACTGTGAAAATGTTATTGATGCTAAAAAATAACCTATTATAATGTCTACAAAATCGTTATATTATTTAATTTCTGTAGTGCACATTGATGTATAAAAGACATTTTAATTCTAGAAATGAATTACTTTAAAACAAATGTTATTATTTTTCTTTAATTGGACACTCAACGTTTCGCTTTATAGCTTCTTCAGGAGCGTTCACTAAAACACAAACCGAAACTGACAGTACAAAGCTTCAAATGATTTAAATAATAAATTATAGCCGAATCTATAGCGTGTATTTCTACGGCGTGACTTTGACATATTAAGTAGTAAAGTTTATTGTTGAAATAATTAACTGTTATTTGTAATAAACAATAGTTCCATCCAAGTTACAGACTAAAATAACAAATGTTAAGATGAAAACATAATATAATTAAAATTATCGGTGCCATATTGTGGTCGTAGTTGTTTGATGAGAAAAGCTTCTTTGAATTTTCTGTCAGTGTATTGGTGGCTTTGGTGAGGATTTGTATTGAAAATGGTGGTTTCAAGTCAGGTGTTACTTGTCCATGATTGGTTAAAAATGATCTGTAACTGCCTGTTTCATGTTGTTGTTTGTAAAGTGAATTAACATGTTCTCCTATCCTTGTGTATAGAGTTCTTCCGGTTTCCCTACAGTACGTATGATGGCAGATGTTACATGTAAGTTGGTAAACCAGCCATCTTTACATTGTAAACACGTTTTTGTAAGACTGTTAGCTTTTTCGGGTTGAACGTGGATGTTCTATAACTATAATCGGCAGTTCAGGTTTTATTTTCTTGGAGATAATTTCGTCTATCAGAGGTACCAAAAGTATTAAAATCATTATGTTATACCTGTATATAATGAATTTTACAAGTTTACATTATTTTATCACGTGGAGTCCGAACGCCATCTGTAGTAAAAAACTACAACGAATATGTCTGGATTAATTGATATTTCAGCCATAAATTCTATCGAATTCGAGGTAATTTAGCAACTATGATCATTATGTATAGTTCTCGAGTGTCTGTTCGTCCACCCCCCCCTCTTAGGGCCCTCTATATCAATTAAACTTTTCGCGGAGAAAAAAAAATAAGCATTTGTGAGTACAATCTAGTAAAAGTAGTTTCATTTTGAAATTATGTGGTTATTTTGACTACTTTACCGCTGCTTTCTAATGATTAAACAAATATCTGTCACTATGCGGTGCCACATTGAAGATCGCTGAGGAACTTTATCAGATTTCGTCGAAGAGAGTGGAAACACTTCTTTTCAAGAATTAACAAAGACTGAAATTCTTCAATACACCAGCCTTTCCTTATACTTCAGATATAGCCTTCAGTTACATTCTATGCAATTTTTTAACAAGCTATGATAAAAGGTAAACAGAAGTTGACTTAATATTTTAATTTAGGCTTACACTATTAAGTATTGTTATATATTATAGCCACAGAACTCCACCTACCACCCTTGTAATCTTGTATATGTTAATAGTAATTAGTATAATCCGTAAGGCTAGAATTAGGAAGATTTTAATTTATAAAATTGTACTCTGCAAGTCACATCTTCATAACAACCAAGCCTTATGTAATGAAACTGTTTTTTAATCAAAATTCTTGGTAAATGCCTGACGTTACTACTTTTGTTAGCTCTTAGCCTTAGGCCTTATTGGGTATCCCAATGTTAAGCCTTACTTATGGTGTAATCTACTTGAACTTAAGCAAGTTCAATTTCAAGAAAACAAAATCAAGTTAGAAAGAATCAATGTGAGATTTTTATTTGAAATAACCTTTTTTTGATGAGAGGAACTACTTTTCGTTAGATCAGAAACTTTCAACTGTGAAGCTAAAGGCATTGAGCTCAGTTACGTTTGTAAAGTTCTATAAGCCTAACATTAGACCTAATGTTCGTTTTAAACGTTAAGTGGGGTAAGGTGATACAATCTTAAATAATGATGTTTAAAGCATGGAACCACTGATTGAATCATAAAGAAAATTCTAAAAACGAATTTAGGAATAAGAAGTTAATTATTATACTAGAAAAAGGTTTTCCTTATTTAAAAGAATTGCATCCTACCTTTGAAGTTTTTTTTCTTCTCATCTTTATTTTAAAATTAGTATCATTGGATGGATCATAGAGAAGAAAGGCCCGGCATGGCCAGATGGTTAGGGCGCTCGACTCGCAATCTGTGGGTCGCGGGTTCGAATCCCCGTCACACCAAACATGCTCGCCCTTTCAGTCGTGTGGGCGTTATAATGTGACGATCAATACTACTGTTCGTTGGTAAAATAGTAGCCCAAGAGTTGGCGGTGGGTGGTGATGACTAGTCGCCTTCCCTCTAGTCTTATGCTGCTAAATTAGGGACGGCTAGCGCAGATAGTCCTAGCTTTGCGAGAATTTAAAAACCAACAAACAGTCTTTTCTACATATTTATAACCTACATTAAGTTATCACACAACAAAAAATGTTCTTTACAAAGAAATTTTGCGGGATGAATAACACATAAACAAATAAAGAGAACGTACTGCAAATAGTGTTAATGCTTTGTATGTTACGTTACTTAATAGTGAACAATAACATACAAAACGATCCTTAATTTATTTCTGAGTAAGCATATGTTAAAATCATAATTTTGTTTTAACCATTCAATTTATTTAACTTTGCGTACTATGTTTAGAGGTTGTTATTTTTAAATTGTATCAAATTGTTAATGTTTTTAATGGAACCCCAAATCTATTAAAAGTCCTAAATTTAAAATACTCAAGCTAACAATTATGAAATCTTGAATTATAGCTATAACAGATAATTTCAAAACACAATTACCAAAATCTTTCTAGCCCTCCGGTGGTTCAGTGGTAAGTTCTGAGGGTTTATAATGTTAAAAATTGGATTTTGATACCTGCGGTGAGCAGAACACAGATAGCTTAATGTGAAGTTTTGTGCTTTACAACAATCAAACAATAAATATTTCCAATTCACGAAAAAAAAAAAAATTATGATAAGAAGTAAAAAGTGTTCAGTTTTTGGGTGGCACCATTTGGACGCGTTTGTCTTAACCCTAAACTCACTTACCCTCAGCATCAAGGATGGTGAACAACAGAAAGGAAAACGGATGGCGATGGCAAATAGCATATGAATCAGCTACGAGCAACGTAGTTCTGGAGTTAGGCGAGAGACGACCCCAGATATATATATATACGTGCCAGGTGGTTTTTGCTGCCAAAATCTGACTAT